AGCACTGATCTCCACTAGAGGGGGCTGGATGGCGCATTGAGCAAACAGGTATGAAGCCACCGGAAGTGAGCGCTTGGCAGGCTTTGTAACCCTTCCGAGTGCTGGTTCGAAAAGCGTCGAGGGCGGTGGATTTTCGCTTGTTCCCTCAAGAGAGCCTGATTGTTGCGCAGTAAGAGCGCATGCGGACCCGAGAAGTATCATGGGAAGCCATTCAATCTAAACAATTTGAGACTCTAGTTGATCAAGTTGTGAATATGTCCCAAGTTCAAATGCCGCATTCTCGGGATTTTATCCAGAACGGGAGTATTAAAACCCAATCAAAGACACAAAAAAGCACGGTCCAAAATATCGACTGAATGCACGAGGAAGCCCAGCTCACGCCCGACTTCCGGGACAAGCATCGAACTTCCGGTGGCTTCACTTGCGCAGGGCTCGGAGAGCAGCTAAGCGCCATCCAGCCCCCTATAGTAGAGATCAGTGATATTAAGGCTTAGTGATACAATCTTGGAGATGTGCAATGGGTTGGAACCGTTTTGTAGCTAGGAAATGTAATTGTCAGGGTGTGGAATGCAAGAATGTTGTACGAAAGACTATTTCGATGCTGTGGTTAGAGAAATTGGAGTCGATCGATGAAGAATTACAATTATATTGTTGGGATGGTTTGTATGTTTTTGTGAATAATGGTTCTGATGGTGTGTTGAATAATATGCGGTAAAGTGTTAGGAAGCCGAATTTAGTACTACCCGGCTGCCATTTTGATTTTTCGATTGCGTAATCGAAAAACTAATATTCTAATATCTCTAAATATTTTTTTTATTATTTCTTAATGCAATTTCAGCCTGAGGTTTTTAATGCGGCTCTCTACCTAGTTCCAACATATTAAGTCCTCAATGGAAAATAATGGTTTTATTACCCATAAAGGACTATATACAAGGTGTATTATTAGATTATATATTTGTTAAAGCACTCGCTTTTTACAATGGAATAAACGGCATTTTAAAGTATCTGATATACTTGTTAGTAGTATGCAAATTCTTTTACATTTTTCCTTTATTTACATGCTCCCGTTTTACATCATTTACATTAGTTATGTTTTCGGTTTTCACCCTTTGCAGATGTTTTACCTGCCTTCTGCCGTCTGCCTCTAGAAGGAGAAAAAAGTCTCGTTCCTCCCTTCTTCTCTGGTCCGCTTGGGGGCGCGTCAGTAAAAGGGAGCAAAGTGCGCCGTTGTTACCTTTTTCCTATTTTTTCTCTGTTAAAGTGTACGCTTGAGCTTCGCTTTGCTAGCGGGAGATCGTGCCGTCCCTTCAAAGCATAGATTGAGCACACGCCCGCTAGGTCCACTTTCCGCAGCGTACGATCTACTGCAGCTCTCTAAACTCACCGAGGGTGAAAGAACCGCAAAGCGTCTCTTTCGGGTGCTCAGCCTTCAGCACACGCTCGTTGACTTCCGGTGTGCTACAGTAATCTAAAGAGTTGTAGTGGCAAAAGCGGCGGCCGCCCCGTGAAGATTTTGAGCGTAGACAACACCGTTGCGCTGTTGTGCTGAGCCCTAGGAATGCGCCCCCGTCAGCCTCGTCGCCTGCGCTGTTCGGCGTGTACAACTGTGGTTCGACTGGAGCTTTTCGCGACGCAGAACAATTCCTGATGGGAAATATTGTAGGTCGGCCTTTGGACTAGAGCCTCTAGGATGTGTGCTATCCTTCACTTGGAGTGTTCGCGTGCTTTGAGGGAGATTATTTGATTTAATTATGCTGCGCCCTAGGGAGAGCGATCCATCAGCCCCGTAGTCGGCGCTCTTCGGCGGATGCTACTGAGGTTTGACTGGAGCTTTTAGCAACGCGGAACAATTGCTAATGTGAAAATTGTGGTTCTGCCTTTGGACGAATGTCTTTAGCAAGTGTGCTATCCTCTACTTTCAAAATTCGCGCGTTTTTGAGGGAAAATATTTGATGAATATCGACCCTGTAAGGATCGACGAGAGCTCCTCGGGTGGGCCTATTTGGCTGGGGGGAAAGCGTTGTTGTAAACACCTCCCTCGGCGGGCGACCTCGAGAGACAGGCGTACTTTACGACGCGAGGTTCGGAACGCGCGTTTTCTGCCGAGAGAATCGGAGCGTGCGTTCCGGGCCGGAAAAATAAAGTTATACCACCACCACCAGAACGCGGTGGCTCTGGCCGGCGCTGTTTACACGGCGCGTTTACATAGGTTTAGTCTTTCTCGCCCGATTGTGGGGAGGGTCGCGGCATAACGGCAACGCCAGACCGCGTCTGGCGGAATGAATTACGGGATGGCTCACTTAGTCGGAGCTATCCACACTGGGGTCGGTTGTTGGCTTCGCCTTCCGAAAAATGGTTTTGCTTGCATCCGAACCAGCCCGACCTTTGACCGTGAGATGTACGCAGACCGTGGGTTTCCACCCGGGAATATAAGCAATTGCCACGTGGCGAGAAAGTGAGCCGATTGGTTGGCGGTGGGAAACGCCTGTCTCAGGAGGCATCGAGGATTCGCCGGTCCACTAAAAGGGGACGGACCAGCGAGTGACTTTGATGGGAAACTCAGCGAGTGAGTTTAGTTTGTGCTGGGGCTCAACAGCTGTCGCTCCGTAGTCGAGTCAGGTCATGGGATTCCGAGGGACTTCTGTCCCCGTAATCGGGACGTAATCCCAAGAGCTAGCCAACACCCGAGCTTGGATAAGCTAACATCCGACCACCTCCTTCCCAACCCCGTTCAGGGGAAGTTACCCTTTTGCAGTATTGTTTCTCTTTGTATTTTCATTCGCTACCAAAGTATTAAATTGTTTCTTGAAAAGTAATTCCCACATTCAACTGAATTAGTCGTCGACGGCCAAGGGAAGCAACATCGTCTCCGGCAAGACCCGCCCAGCTTCCCACAACGAACGAAGTCCGTCACCCCATTCGGACCTGGCAATCCGGACGGCGCAAGGTGACCGAGCAACGAAAGAACCCGTACTGACCCCCCTCCCCCGCTCTCCCCTCCCCCTTCCCAGTACTGACAGATCGTTCAGCAACGCTATCACTTGGGCTGCATGCTTAATAGCTGCGAAAGAAACCACGCGATACTGATATAAAAAGAAAAATAGACTAATAAAACACAAACATTTTAGTGAAAAACCCGAGACTAAAATGTTTGGTATACACCAGCCCACTTGCGCCCTTACGTTCTGCTCATCAATAAATTTCCATAAATCTTGCACTTTTTCAGTGGTGAGCGGAACAATAAAGTGATGTATTGTTTTTTGTCATCGTGTTGCTCATGCGGGGACCGGAGTTCTAGACGGTGCAAGGGCGAGCACGTTTGCGAACGGCCAAGGTGCCACTGCAACTGGCGAACATATAACAAATTGTCTTTTGTGGAAGGAAATCTAAGAAGAAAAAATACATCGATTGGGAGTACATGAAGCATTAAAATTCAATATGAAGACAAATTACAACAGCCCAAATAAAAAAAAGTATTCTTAACACACTGGTTTAAGACCTCTTAAAAATTGTAATACAGTTTATCGACAAGCACACCAAGCACATGACAAATACCCAGCAACCCCCCCCCCCCCCCAATACTAGGCAAAAAGACTACAAAATATTCAAAATATATTGCGGCATAGAATCCTAACCTCTTCGCCATTGACGATGTGTTCATAGTTCCGAAGGATAAGGCGCGGTTCAAAATGTCTCTCGCACACCGCGCTGATGTCTCGGCGAGGCGTTTATCTTCTCGTTTAAAGGAGTACTCCGGCCGTTTTTTTTTGAGCTAACCAAACAAATTGCATCTTTCTGACTACCCGGACTTTAGACTTCACGGTAAGCTATTTATTTTATCGAAATTAAAAACAGCAATTAAGAAAACCGAGAATGAAAATGCTGCCGAAACCAGCATTCAAATTTCCGCGCGCTCTCCAGTTGTGTGACTTCACAAATGGTACCCACTTTCAGGTCGTGCAGGTATTCTTCAACAGAGTATGTCTGGTGACTTTTGTGTGCTTCTGAGTGAATCAACTATCAAGCATTCTTTTCCCATCATAAAACGTCTTGTAATCAGTCGGGAACGTGGCTTCCTGCCCACATTGAACCATTTCTGTCGTCACACATCAATGTTGCAAGTAGGGGCTCCCGGTTTGAAAAACACGATGAAAACAAAATTCGAAAATTCAATAACTTCGCGAAATGCTTTTATTTTCACACAATACTTCGAGAGCTGGTACAGCCATGTCTTTTGGTCTGTTGAGCTAATTTTGAGGCAAATCAGCGTCTATGAAAAAATCGCCGGAGTATCTTTTTAAGATCTTGTTCCCACTGTATTCTGCGCGACTCCTCCTTGGGCGCACGAAACAGCGACGGCTTACGATCGCTGGTGCTCCCGCTGCCCTTGCTGTCCGGGAAGCCCGACTTGTATCCCGGCGCGAAGCAGTGTTTGTCCGTCTTTTTCCTTGCATTCGTGACCGAGACGGCGACGGAACGGTGAAGACTCCCCACCACTACACTTGAAATAAAATTGCTACGGTGCTACGTTCGGGAGAAGCGTACCGCCTCAGCCTCGCCGCCTTCTTCGCTCATCGTAACATGTGCCACGAATTCTCCTAGGGCCCGGAGCTCCAGCGCCACGTTTTCCCCTCATGGCCATCTAGGTCGACTGTCTTCACGCGGCCCATTGTAAGTTGGCGCCGCTCTTGCCACTACAACCTCTTGAACACAATAGATGGGCTGTCGTTGGGCATGCGCGCTTGAAACTCATGAGAGGCCGAAGGGCTATTGAACGCACCTATGAAGGTCGCTCTTTCTGCGGCAAAAATCACTTCGGCATCTTGTAAGTTACGAGTTGACGAAGAATCTTTCGGAAGAATATCAGAGTGGCGTTATTGTTGTTCTTCTATGAAAAGCTGTGAGGAATTCGTTTTATAACTCGCGTACAAGTTTGGGCATGTTTTTTTTTTTTTTTTCTATTTAAGCACCTTACACACCAATACCGATATTTAAGTTAGTTCACTGAAATTTATTGTATTGACTCGAGGCATAGGGAGTTGGCTCGGCACCTCGTTTATCAAAATATTTTCTCCTGGGCAAAATATGTGTTAGAGACTCGTTTATTAGAGTGGAAACGCGCAAACATGTTTGTTCAAGTAATATTCTTGGCAAAGTCACGACTCGTTGAATCCTGACGGTACATCGATTTCTTTCAGTTTTTCATATTCACGGGCCATCTTCGCCTTTAGTTCCTGTCTCAGGATCTTTCCACTTTCAGACTTTGGAAGACGCTTCATAAAGATTATTCCTCCGTATAGGTGCTTGTACACTGCTGCTTGATCTGTGAACCAGAAAACAATTCAACACAAATATGAATAACTATTTAAAAAAGCTTCCACCAGCTCACAATGCACCAAATAAGGTTAATTTGAAGATTCGAAATTGCTGAGAATCGCGTTTGTCTAGTATTTTGGTCGTTTCCCGAATCCAAGCTTAATACAAACACAAACCAAAACTGCGCCAGACCTGTTTTGAGTGTTTTAGGAAGCAAGCTGACTACATGCATAGACCATTCCAATAATCGCATTCTGCACATTGCCATCTGTGTCTGCTGGGCTGTGGAAGGGGTTCAGAGCATGGACTCTATTCTTCCGCCCTTGTGGAATATTAGACACCCCACATGTTTTCACAACCCAGTGGCTCGGTATTCTTCGACTGTGTGGCAGGGGCTGGTAAGGCCTACACCCACTGACAGTTCTACAAAGGCGGATCGTGACAAAGCCCTATCGCCGCTCCGCACATAATTAGATATCGGCATGAGCCGGCAACAGCACAGAGAACGAATCAGGGAGCGAGGGGCGTGAAAATAGTAAGCAGCGTTCTGTGTTTCTTCACTTGTCAGTAACTGTAACGTGCTTACTTTATTGTACCGTCTCGCGTAAAAGTGAACCGTACTTGATCAGGCGCCGTGGACCTTCACGAGTATAATCAGATGCTAACTTTCTCAGGGTAGCTATAACGATCAGCCTTAGAACCTTGGTAGGGAATCGTGGCACCAAGATTTCAATTCCTGTACGCAAAACATTAAAAACAAAGTATGTCTCACGAACCAAAAGTTATACTCTAAGATTTCGACTAGATATTTATCTATGAACAATAAGGACGGCACTGCTTTTCAACTCATTTGGCCATGAAGGGTGCAGCTCGTAAACAAGAATCATGCTCAAGCGACAGTAATTTTCATTCAATGAGTATTCTCGAATTTTTTTATGAAAACTGGTATCGGGTTGAGGTATTCTTTATGTTTTTCCCCAAGTACGTCTCAATGTGTAATTATGTTTGTCTTAGTGCGTATCGTATTAAGCATGGCTCCTCCATACCATTATTTAGCAATGGTTCCCAGTTTAAAGCTCATTTTCCTAAAAGTGTTGTGCAATCAACCACTAACTAGAAAGTGTATGTGCACGAGACAGAATATGCCTATAAAAATAAAGTAAAGGCAAAGTACAAACATAGCGGGCGCAGCATATACCTGCTATAAGTTCCTTCAATTCCGTCACCAGATTCTCCAGGTTTTTCGCAAAGCAGTCTTTTACAACTACACAAGCTGCTGGAGCCTCGCCATATTTTGAGCTCGGGACTCCCAAAACTACGGCCTCCTCGACGGCCTCGTGGGACATTAAAATTTCTTCCAGCTCGGCAGGAGTGACCACGTTTCCCATGCACTTTATCATCTGTTTCAGTCGGTCTATAATGTGAATCCGTCCTTCCGTGTCATAGTAGCCCAAATCACCTGAAAGTGACATGTTAGAAACCAAGGAAATATTTTTAATGATTTTTGTTATACGATGCAGGAGATAGACACGGATATTTTGAGGCACACGTTGCGGGAAGGCGGGAAAATAATAATCGGTTTCGAATGTTAAACGTTCAGAAGTGTCTGCCCTTTTTTTAACAATTTCCCAAGGTGTGTTTTATAGACGGACACGCATCACGAATGCGAAAACTGAGAAGCATTGTCGTTTCTAAAATTGGTCTTCGCGCTTGCCTGTTCTTCTCATTTGTACAGCTCACGTGTCAAGTAGGCTCGACTACTGGGCACTTATCAAAATTTGAAGGCATTGCAGTGCGTCATGAATTATGACACATAACACGTTTTAAATTATTTATGTCCATTTTCAATATTACATTCGAGTTACAATATGTTAAATGTTCTGTTCCTACTGCAGCTAGTAATATCATTATAGTTCTGCAGCCCATGAAAATCTGTAATTTGCCGAAGAAAGAATTACGAAGCTAGGAGCCTGATCATAAGAAATTGTGCTCTGCTTTTTTTCAACTGTCAAATGAAAATTCAGAGTTTTATTCCTCATTATCTGTGGTGTGTAGGTGTAGGAACGACATGGGGGGCCGTTATTATGACCTGAACAATAATATGAATTACGTGTGGTAATATAATCACTTTTGCGTAAGGCACCATTCAAGAACCTGATTTAGAAATCCTACTGCACTGGTTCAATTTGTTTCTTCTATGCAGGGCTTAATCACTATCGCCAAATTTCAAATAGATATTATTTTTTTTTTATGAAAATGTTTAGCAGACTACACTCTTATGCCCGAGTCTCACTAGAGCGACAAACAGAAACAAATGACCGCGACAAGCCTCAAACCAGATTATTTCTTGATTTGACAGGCTTTGCAGAATAAAGGAGGCTATGCTCAAACACGATGCACGCGAGGGTATCTTTGGCAGGCTTGCAATCACTCGTGCTTACTTCACGAGCACCGAACGACTAAACGCCGGGCAAAGGTACAATCGCGAGCATGCTGCATGTGTTTGAGGCTTGTCCCTGTCGTTTGTTTCTGTTTGTCGCTCTAGCGGGACTCGGTCACAAGGAATCCGGCGAATCTACTCTCCGCAAAGATCTCGGGGAACTCAATCGCTGGAATCCATGCAAGATGCTCGAAGCATGACGAAGCTCGAAATATGCTTACACCTTTAAAAACAGTTTTCCTTGTGTGATGTGTGACCGATGTTGACGTTATACGTGCTTACTTCATTCTCAAAGCCACAGCAAATACTGCTTTTTAACGCGAGAGCGCTAAGGAGCTCGTGTCGCAGAAAAGCCGGTGTCGGTGGCGTGCGCTAAAATCCAGGAATGGTCGATAGGGTCATGACATCAAGTCACATTACCTCGCTCGGGAATTCCAAACAACCAACAGCGCTCATGTAAAACGTGACGTCACGCGTGGAATGAAAGTGATTAAAAATATGAAATGTAGTGCCAATTAATGTTCGCCGCATGTCTCAAAATGGCTTCACTTTATAAAGTCCTTCATTTGGCTTAAAACAAAAAAGTTAAGAGTTTTAGGCGGGATTAGAACCCACGACCCTTCGGTTGCAAGCCATCCAAGCTACTGACTAGTCCATACAAGACACGCTTGCACGGTTTGGGAACGAGCGGGAGTTTATATCTTTCCCTATCGGGTTCAACTCTTAATTAAGGGCGAAACTTAACGTACTGAAAGTTTTTTTTTAGGTGTAAATATATTTTCAGCCTGGTCACTAACAGAGCTCCCAGCGTAGATCGCAGCGATTGGGTGTCCCAAGTGCTCCGTGGAAATGTAGTCGCACCGGAATATTTAGAGCGTTAAAGACGCATCATGTGAAATTGTGTGAATTGTTTCTTGCAGTACCACATATCGAATATTTTCTCTATAAACGCTTTTATAGCGTCAGATAAGTGGGTGAACAACAAACAATAGACATAGACATAGAGCAGTATAGCTTATTATATAGTCACGTGACAGCGTGCAAAACGATGGGCCTGGTGAGTCCCAGCCATCTTGTTGTCCCTCCGCAGCCAATGAGATGATGTTATCAGTCGATTAAGACGCCGAAGAACGAATCACAAAGCGGCAAGTGAGAACATAATGAGTCACACTCTGCGATTCTTAAGATGTCAGTGAGTATATTTCTTTTCAAAAGAAAACAGTAGGAGAAAGGACCGGTGGTACCTGTACGCAACCAGCCATCTTCGCTTAGTGCTTCAGCAGTAGCCTCTGGATGTCCGAGGTAGCCTTTCATGACGTATGGAGTGTGAACCAAAATTTCGCCATTTTGATATGGGTCGAGTAGTTCTCCGCTGGTGAGGTCTATAACCTAAGAAAAGTTCGATTCAAAGTTTAGTTATTTTTTTTTTGTAAGAATTTATTCTAAAAAGGGAGAGCTGGCATTCTTTTCATTTATATTATGGTTCAGTATTCGTGCTTTTCCAAGGGACTCACAGTCATAAGGCGGGTTTGAACTTTGAAGTCCTTCATTTGTGCGCTCAGTTAACAGCATGCAAGTTATCTTTAAAAAAAAAAAAAAGAGTTCTCAGACTCGACGAAGCAGCACGTTCTGGTTATATCGCAATTTATAAAGGTCTATTTTAGCTGTTTTAAGTAACAGAATATTAACACAAAACAAAGTGCCTTAGTGACAAAGTAAATAATTTAGCTGGAGAAAATGGGGTTGCAAAAAAACGTTAGCATGTAGCCAGGCTTCAGTAGCTAGCCAGGACGTCATGGATGGAACATTCCTTGTTTGGGTACCTGTCGGGCAACCTTGGACACTCCTTAACAAGGCTTGACTATCAGACGAATTACAGGGCGCGACCGTAAGGACCAACATAATTGGCCCGCCTTGTAGAATTTGAACTCCAAAAGTATACACATGGAATTGGGCACGCGAACGTAGTTTCGCAAGATGTTTTATGCCTATTTTTAGAGCTGAACTCGAAGGTAGTGAAATGTTAAAAATAAAGCAAAGTCGGAGGCCATGCATTTCTTATGTCCTATACCAGACTGTTGGCTGCACATTGTTTTATGAGCTAGTTTTCGGGTAGCTTGCTGAACGCAATAACGCTAAGAACCATATTAGAGGCTAGCATTGAGCAAATTAAACTCGATAATTAATGTTTTTCGAAATATATGAGTAACGACCACCTGGGAGCAAGCTCGCAAACGAGTGTGCAGACAAGGAACATCCGATAGAGGGAATAGCAAGAGCACGACTACCATTTTAGAGCGCAGCTCTTAGGCGCTCGTTTGCGTGTTTTGCGGTGTTAGCGTCGCAGTCGCAGTCGGCGTAACGGGAGGAGGAGAGGAGGGTACGGAGGAGAAGGAGGGTAGGGTATGGAGGAGCAGGAGGTGAGGGTACGGTACACAGGAGGAGTAGGAGCGGGTATGGGTTAGAAGGAAAGGGTAAGTAGGAGGACAAGGGGAGGGTACGGAGGAGGAGGGGACGGTACGCAGGAGAAGGGTACCAAAGAGGAGGGGAGGCTATGGAGAGGAGCAGGGGAGGTTATGGAGGAGGAGGGGAGGGTACAGAGGAGGCAGGGTACAAAGGAGAATGATGACACGGAAGGGGAGTAGGGGAGGTGACGCAGAAGGAGAAGCGGAGGGTACTCAGGAGGTGGAGGGGATTCGTACGATGACCTCTCCTAGACCTCCTCCTCCTTTATACCCTCCCCTCCTCCTCCCATACCCTCCGCTCCTCATAGGTGCTGAGGAGGAAGAGGAAAAGGTATGGAGAACGAGGAGGGGAGGATACTGAGGAGGAGGACAAGGAAGAGGAGCAGGAGAAGATAGGCAGGAAGAGGAGGTGGAAGGTACGCAGGAGGAGGAGGAGGGGAGGGTATGGAGTGCCTCCCCTCCTGCTCCTCCACACCCTCCCCTCCGTACCCTCGTCTCCTTTTCAAGAGCTGCGCTCTAATTTCGCATTACAGAGATTTGTAAACGTCTTTCATTTTAGAGCGCAGCTCTTATGCCCCCTAATTCGGCTTGAGCGGCGTCGCCGTCGGCGTAACCGGGTGGTGCATTACGGGAAACGTGCCATAATGCACCGAGCCGAAACGCAGTGCATTACGCGCAGTTAAGGGGTGTCCAAACAGGACACTACAAAACTCACGACTCCGGCAAATCGTGAAAATTGAAGCGGACGCTTTTATTTTTAGGGTCTGTCGGAGTCGTGAAAATGTTTGCAGGAGTCGTGAAACTTTTTACGATCACGACTGCTCTCCTCTTCAGATTGACGTCACACGCCACCTGCGTCTGGCTCACCTCGCCAACGCCCTCGCGTACCGCCGCCGCCTTGGCTCGAAGGCCAAGGCTTCGGGTGGATTTGGGACATTCCTGCGTCGATGGGTGCGTTTCGCCCGCCTCGGATCTGCTTTCTTTGTCGAGATTCACTTTCGTCGTGATGGCGTCCGATGCGGTTCCGTATTGTGAACGGAGGCTTTGAGCGATTGACCGACAGCCAACAGAGCGTGTGAGTGGCTCTCCGGACCCACGTGATAAGCAGAGCAAGGCCGCCGTGGAGAAAGCGAGGGGGAGATTTGACGGAGGGAAGTTTCCCCCCGGGAAGAATTGACGAAGGGAAATTTCCCTCCGACGGCCGAAAGCGGATCGCGGCAGAGCGCGGCACGATTTGCCGGAGTCGTGAGTTTTGTAGTGTCCTATTTGGACACCCCTTTACACCGCGCGTAATACACGGCGGTTACGCCGCGTGTGTTTGCACGTTTAGGTGGAAGTGACGGGCCGAAACGTCACCATGACTTCTACCAAAACGTAACGTGACGTTTCGGTACAAACCACGTGCCGAAACGTCACATGACGTTTTTGACACCGCGCCGAAACATCGTGTGACGACGCGCGTTTCGCGCGTGAAATGAGGAGGAGGGGAAGAGGAGAGGCTACGGATGAGAAGGGTCATACCCTCCCCTCAGAACTCTCCTTTTCTCCTCATGAGCTGCGCTCTAAATCACTGTTACAGGAAGTTGTAAACGTCTTTCTTTTCTTTTTCTTTTTGTGCTCTATTTTTAATATTTTGTTACCTAAAACTTCAGTTCCGAAAAAAAAGACATAAACTTCTCGCGAAATTACGTTCGCGTGCCTACTTTCAAGTATGTATGTTTGGAAGTCGAGTAATACAAGGCATTTCAAATGTATTGGTACTATACGAACAGTTAGGAGAGCAAAAACTGTTACAAATTTTTTTTCTTTTTTTTGGAGGGAGGACATGTTGCGCTTGAATAATTTCAAAGGGAATCGAGCAACGGAAACGACAGCGCGTTTGCTCTTTTGCTGTATTGAAAAAAAATGGAAGCACTTTTGCGGGGTGGTGCCATTTTAATTCGTGTTGTAACCTCAAGTAAGGGCAAAAAATAGTCCCATAAACAAATCAAAGATAAAGATGCCACTCTCAAACTGCGAGTTTGAGAGTGAATATTATCTGTAGCCACTGAATATTATATATATTCAGACGCTTATGGTACATATTATGAATATTCACCATTGAATATTATGTGTATCCACAGGGTAAAGTATAATCGCGTTTTTTGTTTTCTTCCTTTATATGCATATTACGCGGGCGATGTTCTAAGACATCGGCTTCCAAAGTGTGGGAAGCAGAAGAAACGGAGCACGATGAGCTAGCTCACGTCTGCGGCGCTCGCGGAGAGATACGCTATACGGGTCTGACATTTTCCGTAAACCTTTGAGGAGACAGTCACGCGCACCTACGGCTTGCTCATAAGCCGAAAGCAAAGAAACAAAATTTTCGTTGGCTGCTACTTCAATCTGTTCTACCGAGGGCGCAGAGAAGAGCACAAGACCAATAGTCAAATGACGGCGCACGCGCGGCGCGATGCCGCACTATTTTTTCTCCTCCACACGCAGCAGCACACCGGCCGCGACTCTGCACGGCCGGACTGGAAGCTCGCGCTCTCTTTCTCTTCTTACGGCCTTTGCGATTGGGGCAATCGCCACCTCCCGCCGCAATTCGCGGGGGGGGCGCTGTCACCTCACCCCTGGGCTACCCTTTGCCGTTTGCACAGAGCGCGTCTGACAGTGTATCTCAGCGCTGTCGCAACTTGCGGCCGAGATTTTTATAGCCTTTGACACCTGATCCTTACGTTTAGACCCTCAGCCACTATCTAATGCGCTTCTGATGAGCCCAAAACGGTGAATATTTGACGCACATCTCCGAGAGATTCAGGATTAAAAGTTATAATTAGAGACAGCGAATGCAATTGCGGGACAACTATACTCGTCTTTACCTCCAGGACTTCTGTTGCAACTCAAGAACAGGAGAAGACGGACACCTTCTACGTGGAGGAACTTTAAATGATGAATAATTCGTACACTCTCGTGAAATGTAAGCAGGTTCAATCTATCTATTGCCGTGGACTGCCTCATCATTTCATAGGCCGCACATGAAGTCGGTCAGCTGCTCTAGACGGGGGTGTAGTAGTCTGCACAATTTTCGCACAGTGCATATTACAGCCTAAAGTGTTTGCTTGAGGGCATGTGCACATATCCTGCCTATTTTTCGTTTCTCTCCGTGACCGTCTTTGCATGGTTAATCAGAAGTATTCTGAGGAACTTGTTGCAAATTATACCAGCCAAGCGCTTTGAGTGACTGTACAGACAAGTAAGTACAGAGGTGCTGTCCCTGTGACAGGGGAACGCAGTTTGCTGACGACACTGCCTGTCGGTAGAGTGACTTAAATCGAAGCGAAGTTCAATAAACCGTTGCCAAAACAACAACCTACGAAGCTTGAACACCAGCGCAAAGGAGTTCGAAGGGACTCTCGGAGTGGAATGAAGTGGGGTGAGGTGATAGCGCCCCTGGCGGCAAGCAAGGGAACTACACTCGGAGAAAAAATGCCATTGACTCCCGGGCGATTGCAAAGGCCGTAAGAAGAGAAAGAGAGCGCGCGCTTCAAGTCCGGCCGTTCCTACAGAAACAACGTCGCTTCTCGCAGTGTAGCCTTGGATCCAATATCCCGCAGTGCAGCCTTGGACCCAATATGGCTCCCCTGGGAGCACCGTTGTGATACTGTGCTTCGCAAGCGGAGCATATATAGTATAGCCATTTGCAAGTACGGCCTCCGCCCGCCGCCATGTTGCTGCTGGTGTGGGTAGATCGTCTGATAGTCAAGCATTGCTAGGCCGAGGGTAGGCATCAGCAATGCTTAACTCGCAGGCGATCTACCCACACCAGCAGCAAGATGGTGGCGCCCAGAAGCTGTATTTGCAAACGTCTATACTCATCTAAAACGAAGTATTTTGAAAGTATTTTCCCGGTCTATGGTCTGTATCCGGCGCATGCGGCGATGTGCCGGATGCGACGACACGCAAGGTGTGGCGATGCGGCGTTTAGACCATGCGCACAAAACGCTGTATCCGGCGTGTATTGCGCAGTCGCGAATTTCGGTGGAAATTTTGTGTTCCTTTTATACTCCGCACCATGCGGCACGGTCAACACGCAGTGCAAGGTTTGTTCCTGCTGTCTAGTTCGTACGTAGAATATTAGCATAGACAACACACCTTGACAAATGGCTGCTTTGTGACAGAAGTTTCATAGCGATGCTCTTACGCGATTGTTTCCGGGTTGAGCGGCGTCAGCATCGCCGTCGCCGTCGGCGTAACCGCGCACGTTGCATCATGGGACGTTTCCCAGCTTAACTTTACGGGGAAATCTTCCCGCTAAGTTTAGCGGAAAAATTGATGTCACGTGACCTCAACACCAATTCAGTTTCCCCGCTAAATTTAGCGGGGAAAATGACGTCACGACTTCGTGTCACGTGACCAATGAACAAATTGAGAGGAGGAGGAAAGGAGGAGGACGGATGAAGGAGGAGGAGGAGAAGAGGGGAGGAGAAGGGAGGGTACGGAGGAGGAGGAGGGGCATACCGTCCCCTCCATACCCTCCCCTCCTCCTCCTCAAGAGCTGCGCTCTGGTTTCGCATTAGAGAAATTTGTAGACGTCTTTCATTTTTTCTGTATCATCATCATTAAAGCGCAACTTACGACTGTTTTCAGCTCCGTCAGTGCTCCTGAATTACAAGGTATAATTTGTTTTTCGATATTGTGCGACTAGTTTTATAAACATCACGGCTCAAAGTTTGGTTTTGAGCGTCTAAGATAAAACCGAAAATAGAGGGGTTGCAACACTGATCTCAGCCGTGCGGCCACGACTTGGCGTCACCATGGTGCTGCGGTACGTGTCTCTCAGTGTTGCTTGGCTGAAAGCTAAACCCCTTGCTACATGCTAAACAACAGCTGGTCGCATTTTTAAAATCAGTTTTAGTTGAGTACGGGGCTTCACTTTTACGTAATATATCGGCTGTGGTCATATTTCGTGCCACAAAAGCAATACCAGTCATTTATTTCGGTTTCGTTTTTGAACGGAGTTGCCCTTCAACACACTATGGGTTTCACTAATTCCGTTAAGTCTTATCACACTGAACCATCTTCAACAAACAAATCCTAATGTTGTCCGCACCTCTAGATAGTTCGGTAAGTAGGAAATCACAACTTTTAAACATATATAATCCGTATATTCTTGAACACAAATTAGATATTTCTTTTAGTGCATGGGCAGGCAAATTAAGTTTGCTTTTACAAAGCTATTAAAGTAATTAAGTTGTCACACCTCGTATGTATTGTCAGGCATACCTTGATTTTACTTCCGGCCACTGGCCAGCCACTGTTGTCAAAGGTGACTTCTCCTAAAGGCGAGGCGCTCAGGAGACAAAAAGTTTCAGTCATGCCGTAATAATTGATCAGGGACTCCACGCCAAAAATCTCGCAAATGCTCCTTGCAAGCGACTTCGTGACCACCGTTCCGGCCAGGATTATTTTTTCTACACGCGATGCAACGTCATTATTCCTTCTGGCTTCGTTGACAATTTCCTGCATCCTGACAGGAATTCCAAGGAAAAGCGAAATCTGCGAAATTACAACAAAGTATTGACGCCTTTTTCTTGTATTGATACTTCGCGCAAAATGTACGCGCTTTATGCGTCCAAAACGGGACACTGCGCTGTAGAAGGTTTGGCCAGTAAAACGGCTATAATGCTAAACATTTACGTATCAAGTGGCGGACAAAAAATATTTTAATTAAAGGGTTATTTGTTTAAACACGTTGAATATGCTGCAAAGCCCTTTATTTTCGTGGCCCCATATTTTTAGCGAGTTGGTCACAGAGGGCATAATCGCGGCCAAAACTTTTCGCGAATTCGAGACGCCTGCATTGAAATTCTTAAGGACCGATATTTTTGCATGTCTTTAAATTTCGCGAACTTTTCAATTCGCGAAATTCCCGAACAGTAAGGGTTCGCGAACAATAAGAGTTTTACAGTAAAAACGATACTGGCACGTAAAAAAAAGGTTAGTATTTTATGTGTTCACGTATTGAAACAAATTCTAAGATAGCTCAGTAACTGTAGCACCTCAAAAACGTCCAAGTCAATAGTATATTGACTATATATTTTCTGTAAAACAAAAAGAAAGGAAGCGACAAAATACATAAGTTAAGTTTTGCCCACTTGCACTCTGATATTTGTGAAAACTGGAACAATATTTAAATTGGTAAAATGAGCTTCCCTCTTCAGGTGGTCACTCTTGTTTAGAGAAATATTCATGTTTGGGAATTTGGTATTGCGCGCTAGTTAACATGTACTCTTTTAAAATTAAAGTGACGTCGATACGCATCGCCCCACAACCAGTCAGACTTCAACATTTAATGAAAAGAGCGCCAAAAAACGAGTCACGAGACAAAAATGATGGATATAAGAAGACACACCCGGCATTTCTTACGCTCTAAGTGATTTTGGAGACACCACAGAAAAAAAAAACAAAAACGGCTGGAAGGTTCAGGCGTGATGGGGAGATAATTTTGATTACATGTTTGAAATGCAAATCAGCCACAACGGGCAAGCTCCGTAAACATTTCACGCGTTCTCGGGACGTCCAAATGTTCTGCGAAATTATCTTGATCAGTAATTTCGAACAAAGTTTCTCACCTGAAAGGTTTTGAGTGCTTTTAAAAAATCTTTGCATGAGATGAAGGGTTCGGCGATTACGATCTTCGCCCCCATGAACATACAAAACAAGCCCAGTGCAAACCCCGACACGTGGGTTAAGGGATTCCAGGCTAGGTAGGCATCATCTTCATTGCAAATTTCAAGAGCCCTGGAATGCCAAAAAAAACAAAACAAACACATATATCTAAGGACGATCAATAAATATATTAAATAAAATACCAAAAATTAATGAAAGAGAATAAGAATCACATAAAAATGCTTAACAAGATGACGATCTAATAATGTTTCACTATTTATTATTTTTCTTTACTTCGTTCTGTCAACGGTTAAATTATGGGCATAAATGGACAGAATAGGTTTGTTTTGTACATTGCTAAACTAAAAAAAAATCACCCCCTTTCTGGCTACACAGCGTGAAGCGATACCTTAATCACAACGTAATCTATTTGCAATCATTCGTGCTTGCATCTAATAGAACTTATTGTGTGTTTGTTTTTCGTCATGTAAAAGAACACAATAGCGGTTGTAGTGGCTTCAAGCTAAAAGAAACTAGTAGACCACACTTTAAAAAGAATCTGGTCGTCAAAACAGCTTAGGGGTTCTTCGGCTTGCCCACGTGTTGCACCCTAAAACGTTATTTTAAGCACTGTCTAATAGGTTCTTCGTGAAAAGCTTTTAAGAGGTAATTTTAAGCTCTCTTTTATGCGACAGGGTTCCTCATCGCTTAGTTGCCTTTCTAGTGCGCGGGGGGGGGGGGGGGGGGGGGGTGCTATGATGCTTCAGGCGAAACCGTTTTTCACGAGCTGAAAGAGGTCTTGGGCAGTCAAAAAACCTTTCAAACACTACTCTTTTTTTTTTTTAGAGTGCATTTTATTAGAAGCGCATGAAATGCACTTTCCTTTTCCGCTAGACAGGATAAATTCCGCACTGAATTTGTCTTAATTTGGTATCTTTCTGGTCACAGGGCGAACGGGGTGATGTGAACGCCAATAATGTAATGTGTGTTTACTTAGAAAAAGGAACATAAACTACCTCTGGCATCACAGAACATTAACCTTTTTTTCATTGTTGTTAAACAGTGAAGCTTACTCCACTTCTATCAGCGCACCTGAATGCGTGAAAAGAGGCACAATAGCCCCGGTGCGATATTTCCACGCCTTTCGGGAGACCCGTCGATCCAGAGGTGTACAGTACCACCACAACCTCTTTCTCGCTGTCAGTGGGAACGTGAGGTTTGAATGTTTCGTCCGAAAGTTCTTGAAACTGGGTCACGTTGACGAAACCTGGTTCGCTTCCTACAGCGAACATTGACTGCGACATAGAAAAAAAGAAACAAACATGAACGGCGTTCGGAGGAACACGATATTTAGCACTTGTTCTTTGCTACCGGTACAACAAAAATGCTTCCTATATATTCATAATGCTGTAAGGTTTAACGAAAAAAACATCGCATTACCCAGATTGTTAACCTATACCTACACTCTAAAAATAAGCCCCTGAGTCTGCCTTCCCGCACAACACTCGGAGATCCAATCACCGCAACTTACGGAGGCAGCTCAGCGAATGACGATGCCGAAACATATGCTTAGACCAAAAAACGCAGTCTGAGTTGTGATATTAGAGAGTTTTAGAATAGGGGCCCTAACGTTTGGGTTTCCCTAAGAAATTGGGGGACCTAAACGCAACAGGATTGTTGTCGACGGCTTATAGAATAGGGGTTTCGCAACGCAGCGCAGCGCGCGCTTGTTTCCCGCTGGCAGCGCCAATCCGGCTAACGAGGGTAATAATCAAAAATAACTTATTAATAAACGTAAGACAAATGCGCCTAGCAAGTACTTTTCGTTTAAAAATAAAAGTAAGGTTAATCCCAATTAAGCCGGCTAAAACAAGAAGCAATCTAAAAGCAGTATAAATGTTGTTGGTTGTATTCAGCCAAAACAATCCAATCCGTAGCGCGTTCTAATTTGACACTCGTTCTCAGATGTTTTGGGCGTTCATGTGCGCTTTGACCGCCTGTCGCCGAAGATTTTGGCCTTCAACTATGCCGAAACTGAGACGAACGCGAGGGACAATACTCTGCAAGCAGCTGCTCTATTTAAATCTAAGATGGAGCGAATTTGAAGCCTTGATATACTTGTTTTAAAACTGCAGCTAACGTGCCATGAACGAAATCCACTCGGAGCCACGAAGTAGCAATGCGTTGCCACGTCAGCGGTTACCGGGTCTGGTTAGGCTTAGAAACGGCCCGGATTAGGGACGATCTTTAAAATGGGGCGAGCCCACCGCTCATTCTTTGTGACTTGAGCGAAATAAAGCAAAGCGAAAGCCGGAAGTACCATTCATTGGCAATGAAACAGGCTAATAGTGCAGCGTCCATGACGATTTTGCTCCGAACCGAGCGGAAAGGGCGCCATCATGTTTACCGACGCAACCCGGCCCCAAACAATGGACCTTTTCCGAGAAGCGTTCTGCGCACGCGCGAGCGCCCGATGCTAAGCGGTGGAAATCGGCACGAAAAAATCGAGGAAATTCGGAATGAGGCTGTAAATCGGCGAGTAGAACACGTAATTGCAGCATATATATAATTGTGTTACACAAAAAAAGAAAGTGGACGGAAAGAAAAACACGACGTTTGGGTGGACGCTACGGATTTCCCTCTTTAAAGTCGCGTTGGGCACGCGACGCTGCTCAGAGAGCGAAGCAACTGGTAGCGTAGCTCTCATTATCGATTGGTAGCGCAGGTAGGTCACTCCCTCGATTTTTAGTTTGTGCAGCCACCGCCTGGTGCCGTCGGTATTTGGAAAAGGTCCATTGGGGGCACCACGCTATTTCTCGAATTCTGCGGTGGGGGCGAGCGCCGACTTGAAACCCCAAACGCAGTTTGGGTTCTGCGCATGCGCAGTGGTGAGCCCCTAATTCTTTGGGGCCCCCAAGCTTTGGGGGCCCCCCTTCGAAAACTCTCTATTAAGCAATGCAAGCGTGACGCTTTGCATTGCTTAATGTCACAACTCAGACTCTGTTTTCAGTCTGAACATATGTTTCGGCATTGTCATTCGCTGAGCTGCCTCCGTAAGTTGCGCTGAGTGGCTCCCCGAGTGTTGTGCGTGAAAGTAGACGAACAGACATTTTTTAGAGTGAAGTTCGTCTGCTTCTTTTGTAGGGATTGTGGTGAGGTCAAAACGCCAGGCTCTGATTGGCTGCGATTGAGGGATGGGGGTAGACCTCAAAGGATGTAAGCTGCCTTGAGGTCTACCCAATATCCTTCAATGGGATTCTTCTCTTTTGGATTTCATTGCTACTTGGTTTTTCTACTACAGTCAAGACTGCGTGCGCTTCGGCTTTTTCCTGGGTTGCTGCGGCTGTTGGGTATGCCTATGTCCCTATGTTTAAGAGGTGAAAGGCTATCGTTGCGTCATTGTTGCTGACCGCCGCGTCCGTATAAAATATCGTTACCTCGGGATCGTTACGAATAACCTCAATTTCTTCGTTTTTTTTTTTTTTTTTTTTTTTTTTTGGGGGGGGGGGCATATTTTTTTTTCTTCTTCTTCATGATTAGGGCCTATGCTCTACGGAATGCGCGTGCCTGCTGGAATCACCGTTATCAGTTCCCACGGTGGTATCTGATCCGGAAAGTCCCTCAGTTCGCTCGTCTTCTGATTTAGCAGATTCATAATACGTCGCCCTTGTTTCATATTGAGCATCTTAATTTTGTGGTACTTCTTCCTGTGTCGCTCGAAATTCCTCAAAACTCGGGAAAGGGACGCATTTTTGTTGTCGGCGATGTGTTTGAAAGCACCGAAGAGGAAAAGGGGCGTCCGGCGCAGAGCATAGACAAATGGCATATATCCTCTTATTTCTCGCGGCTCCCGAGGCCACGCGGTGCGTGAGCTGACGGCGTCACCGGCGCTTTGTCCAGCGCAGTGGAGCCTCGGTTGTTCAGTCTGGAGCTACATTCACTCGGGTATTTTCTACAACCCGTGTGGTTGTGGCACCTGTCGGCTCTGCTACAGTGTAATTCTTCTATCTTGACGTCTCGCGCTAATCCTGCAATGCACCGTCTGGCATCGTTTAGTAAACTGTAAACTTCATCGCTTCCTAAACGATGAAGCCAGGGGAGGCCACCGCGCGTCAGTTTCAATCAGCGCCACCCCACGGCGCTTGGTGCCCGCGCGCCAGCAAATGGAATCAGCTGGCGCGTTCGGGAGGCGGTACGGCCGCCCGCGCGCGCCAGCCGATTCCTGCAGCTGTCTCCGCGCCGCCGACACAGCGGCGACACGGAATCATGCGCCGATGTCAGCGACGCGTGGCAACTTCACGAGGACGTTCGCGCGAAAACGACATTCATGCTTTCTTATTCGCACCTCATAAGAAGTGCTTAGGTGTGCTTAAAGCCCCCCTTTTTTTTTTATAAAACAAATCTGCAAAGACTTAAAAAACGACCCTGTAGATTCACTCACCTTGATTCTGGATGGCATACTGAGTTTCCTAACGTTTGGTGCACTTTGCTGGTCAGTCAGCAGGAAAGTGCACTTGCTGTCTTCAATCGTGAACATAAGCTCTCCTAAAAGAACGGTCTTTCATTAGGCACTCTGTCAATGGAGGGACGCCAGCCGTTCATTATCAACTGTAGTGGAGGCAAACGGAAAGTACTCACTTGCAACGTAGGCCGTCTTTGCCATGACAAGCGTACCACCCGCGAATACAACCCCCAAAGCTGCTGCTGCATTTTCAACTGTGCTGCCAATGTGTGCACACACCATGGAACCTGCTTTCACGCCGTGGTATTGATAACCCACGGCGTACTTGCGTATTTTTTTTAACAGATCGCAAGCGGTTAAGCTTTGATAGGCGTCCACCTAGAAGGAAGAGAGTACAATATGTTCGCGATGCGTAACCTCGTAGCTTTGTACTGAACAATTCCTAGTAAAGCAAACGCCCAGCTTGTTTTCTACTATCAGTTTGAGATACCCATGTAGACTCTTTGTCTTAGTGTACTCACTCGTATACGCCACACAAAGACAGATTTGCAACGAAAGGGATAAATAGCATATTCATCGAGCATTTGACAACCAGATTATCTGGTATTCCCGTAGTAGCAAATACAGGATTAACTCTTTTTATGCCCTTTAAATGAAATGATTCGTTCTAATAATTCAGGTATATCAGTAACGTACTTACAATAATGATCTTGTCGGAAAATTTCTTCAATCGCTTTTCTATAAGTTCAGGAGCTGAGCTGTCTTTAGCATCGTTGTCGGGAAAAGGCGAGTGTATAACTCGGTTGATGATGCGAGCAGCCATCCTTAACGACGATTCTATTGTGATTAAAAAAAAATGTTACGTACTATTCCTTCGGACAGATAATCGACAATCATTTTTGGGGGGATTTTAATGGTCACTGAGACTACTGCATTGGCTCATTCTCGTAAATAAATAGTTTAGTCCCAACAGAGCTAGGTAATTTAGCCACGCAAAATATTTGAAGATAGAAACTTAAAGTTAGAGAGTGCTACGCGTCCGCACTTGCACGGTGCACAAAGTAATCAATTGACTTGTAATTGATTATCTTTGAAGTTATTTTGCAACATTTTAAATACTTTTATGACGTAGTAATGACAATAGTAATCAGATAATTTTGAAATTACTAAAACTACTTGTAAACTCTACTAATTTGTCCCTGTCCTTTGTACTGGCACCCCTTGTTTTTACAAGTTTCCTACCAAGGAATCATCAAAACAAGTCTCTGACAAGAGGATGTTTTTCAAAATGGGGCATTAAGAAGATAAGTAGTTTATAACTCGGTGATTCTAGTCCTATACGAACAAAACGAAAAATTTGTTTTCAAACCGGCAAAATCTGATGTAATCGGAGAACTAACGGTTAGTTCATCTAGTAACGACCAATTGGTTTTTATCGCAAGTAATAAGTAACTAGATTTAATACTTTTCAATCGAGAGAAATTTTAATCGCTTACTTCTATAGAGTAACGTGTACAAGACCATGCGCATCATAAAGAAGAGTTTGCTTTTTACCAACCTGAACTAAAAAAAATTAGACGAGGTTCTTCTCGGACGATGGAATTCCTTTGGCAGCCAGTGAAAGATGCACCGTTAACGCAGCAAAGGTTTTGCTCGAGTTGCCGTTTTAAGTCTGCCAAACACTCCACATCCTCTATATATATTCTCTCTCTCCTCTCGGCAGTTGCTTATGACAACCTTGCCATAGTTTTGTTTTTCTGTTTGTCACATAAAACGGCAAGGATAGTCCACGATGGTCGGGGAGAGAGTGTCTGTCGACGTGAGCGGCGGCCTGTTTTCCCGGAGTCCTGCTCCATCTTCGAATGCACTGAAGCGTGCGGTAAGTGTTTGTCGGAACCTCGCTCGGTGGTTCCCTTCCCCTTACCTCGCCCGCCCGGGCTCGGTAAGGGACAGGTGTAGCCCCGGTACTTGACTGCAGACTTGCACTCGTTACTTCAAAAAAGTAATTGATTACAGTTACAATTACTTGGACTAAAATGTAATGGATTACCTTTACAAATTAGTCCCCGTAAAAAGTAATTGATTAATTACTTCGTTACATTACTCAATTACTTTTGCGTTACTCCAAAGAAACACGAGAAAGACACACTATCTGCTGCGTGTTTGAGGGGGAAAATTTTGGGCCCCATCAAAATTAAAACAAAAATAAACACCATTCATTTCTTTCTACCCAATATTTTAGGTTAACAATTTTAGGAGAACGAATCAATAAAGTTGTAAAAGACTTAAGCAGGTGTTCAAGATAAACGAGTCTTGCGCTGTCCAACCGGGACAGAACTAAATCCAACATACATGCGACGAAAGCACTTGGGTGGTGAAGTTTCGAATAAATCGGAGTTTGCCATTGGCGAGCTTTAAAACACGATTCCCCTGAAGATGGGCATTTCCTATGTTCGTTGCATGTTGCCTAAAGAGGGGCTGGTCTACCTACTAAAACAGACTGACTGTGAGGCCAAGGTGCGGCACTTGCGCCTGGGTACATTTCGAAGTCTTCTGCTTGATGTAGGTTGTAATCCAACCGAATGACCCACTTGATCTTCTCTCTTGATCACCAAACTTATCAAAACTACAACGTCACACCGAATATAAATGCACAGTTTCTCAGCTGAACTGATTTCGCCGTTTATAAATTAATAAAGAAAAGCACAATTTTCAGTGAACAGCACGCCTTCCACGTCTTTCTCACGTTTACAGGCGGGTTCTCAACTCCAGTGTCCAAGTAACTCTTTATACTCAGAAAATTCGGGCAGTGTTCCCTTTCCCTAAAATGTCGGTCTGTGTTCCCACAAGCGCAATCGGCTGACGAGAACCGCAGCATTCTCGTTTCTAAGAATTTGGGTTCAGCTTCGAAGTCCCAATTAGTTTTGACTGTGCTCCCCGGCCAGCTTATTGCCTGCTGTCAAAAGTTACTGTTTAAACTGGCAGCAGGTTTGGTGCAACATTTTTTTTTTGTTACAATGAACTGCTCCCATCGCACTCCTCATGGTTCTGCCTTACGCATCCGCTAGTGCAAAGTTACAGAAGCCACATGGCTGGGAAGTATCTTTCACAGTGCTGTCAAGGATGAGCAGGGGTGAGGTCTGATTAGAAATTTGTTTCGTGTTTGCGGGGTGGCCGTGTGCAGGCAAATCATCGAAAGCAAAGAACGGTTTCGTGTAACGACAAAAAAACAATTTTTTTTGGCGGACAAGGCGCGACGGGGTGAGGGGAAAAAAAGGCTAGAAAGGGGGGCGGGGAGGAAAAGAGAAGACATATGCACTACGGTCACTGTGTCCACGGCCCTACTCGACACAAATCCCACGCGGAGGTTTAATGACCCATTAGTTTTCTGCTCTTTTCTGCGCTCGAAGAAGTCCGTTCGTTTTCCAAGAAGTCGAAGCCTCTTGCCTTCATGCATACAGTCGATATCTCTCAGCCTGGCTGACCGTACGAACCAGTCGAGAAACGGGCTCCGGCTGGACTGTCGTGCTTTCCGTGAATTCCTTTCCCTCACAAGCACTCTCTTCGCGAGCGAAACCCCGTCTTGTGTTACCAAGCTAAGAACGCGAAGGCCGTTATATCGCCCTCCCCCTCTATTTCTCCTTTTGATGGGACGGAAAAATTGTGACGAGTAATTTCAGTAATTCATTACTGAAAAAGTGCTGAGATTACATTACAAAGTGCAATCTAAAAAAAATAACGAATTAATTACTAAATTACTAGAAAAGTTATTATTTACAAGTAATCCCGGTACTTGAAACGGATTACTTCCAAGTCTGCTTGACTGCCCTGCGCGAGACTCAGGCTACTCCCGAGGCCCTAAGCCGCAGACTCGCTTTCTCGTAACTCCTCCCAAAAACAAACCAAGCACAGAAATATACCAAGAGGTCTTCGAACCTAGCAGAGTTGTGCCACCTGAAACTGCGGGGAATGTTTTCGATTTAGAGGGCCGAGTGTTTTCAGAGCCAAAAGCCAGATCCGCAGGGCAATGACCGTCTGGGAGAGGGAAATTTCCAGGTTTGGTGTGCGAGCCTGGGTTTGAGTGCGAGGCACGAAGGAAGGGGCGAGAAGAGACTCGGAGGCGAGCGGACGCATCGCGTCATCGAGCGGGGTGACGAGACCACTGTCGACGGCCCCACGCCCAGTACAGGACCAAGTTCCACTGTGTGTTTGCGTGTCATGTGAAAAAGTGGGTGCGAGGCCAGGGATCCCCGCCGAGCCAGCCGACCGCCGAAACTCCTCCGCCTTGGGCGGTCCGCGCAGGACGACGTCGTCAACCATCAACTCGTCGATGAGAATTTCCGCACTCGCTGTTACTTCTTGGAATGGCATCTTTTGATCCGGTTAATAGTAACATCTTCATCAGTGACTGTATAAGCCTCCGTAAACCTATGTGTGTAAACCCTGTTTTCGTAAGCGTTCTACCCAATATTACAGAACCTATTTTTGCAGAGTGTATGTATCGTAAGCAGCTTTGTGGCCTACTACTAAATGCAAGTTTTTTGGTGTTCTCGTCCTACGTCTCTGTTTCTCTTCGTTGGTCACACTTTCTACCAGAGTGTGGAACTATCGCTCAATCAGTGGTCTCTTCTTTAACAAAGTCACGGCCAGAAGACTCTTTCTCGATTTCTTTTTTTTTTAGTTTGACACCGTTCGAGCATCCAGCTCGAGACACACGTGCGTTAGAGCCTATTACATGAGCTATAATCAGACATGCGCAGCATGCACACATGGTGATGATTCGTAGAGAAAACGGACTTCTTTTTTTTTCACGCCCATGAAGACTGAAACTCGCAAGTCGATGGTCATGCACGGAATTAGAATATTGTGATCATTAATCCTAAAGATAATTAGACGAAACCTGTTTTGCCCAGACTTCAATGTTTACCTTCGAAGAGATACCCATATGGCCCTGATCAGAGCTGTCGAAACATGTTTACCATTTCATTTCATTTCATTCATTATACTCTCAAACCCCGAAGGCATTACAGAGAGGAGTGGAATCACATCAATATAAAATGAACAATGAAAACAAAACGCAAAAAAACAAAACAAGGTACAGAATCTCTATGGAACATTATTAGAAACATCAGTTATGGCGGTTTAAAAATTAGCAGCGTCAGTAAGTGAGACTACGGATGCGGGAAGGCGATTCCAGTCGACGGAGGTCAGGGGTAAGAAGGAGGCATAAAAGGTGGAGGTGATGCAGTAGGGGATTCTTACTTTTAGTGGGTGATCGGTGCGCGCCGATATGTATGATGGTTCTGAAAATAATGAGGTTCGAAGTGCTGGGTTAGAGTGATAAATCTTGTGAAATAAGCAGAGGCGAGCTATTTTTCTACGAAAGAAGAGGTTGGGCAAGTATAGCGACGCTTTCGTGGAGGTGACGCTGGCTGTACGGTGATATTAGAAAGTATAAAACGTGCGGAGCGATTTTAAATGGATTCAATGGATGATGCTAGGGATACGTCAGGGTTCCAGATAGAGCCTGCATATTCAAGTTTGGTGCACAATAAAGTTTTATATAGGAGAAGTTTCAGTGAAACAGGGGCAAGGGAAAAGTTTCTTCTGAGATAGCCTAATATGTGATTAGCGTTGTTAGTGATATATTCGACATGAATGTTCCAGGAGAGATCGTTAGTGATATGAACACCGAAGTATTTATAGATTGACACAGAAAGCAAGGTGGAGTTATTATTACAGTAGAAGGGACAAGTGTTATTTTGACGGGACACTCTTATGAATCTACATTTGAAGGTGTTAACTTTTATAAGCCAATTATTGCACCAGCGGGTGAC